TGTGCCACTCCCAACAGAAATACTCCAGGTGGACACCTTCAGCAATCAGGAGCTCCTCAGGTGCTCATAGCAAATTCCACCTTGGAGTTTACAAAGACTTATGGGTAGAAAAGCCACACAAAGTAATTTACTACACTGCAGACACCTACAGAGCACTTCACCCAACAACAGCACAATATACATTCTTTCCCAGTGCACATGGAACATTCTCCAAGACAGACTGTATGTTAGGCCACAAAGTAAGCCTCAATAAATTTCAAAACACTGAAATACTACAAAGCATCTTCTCACATCACAATGCTGTAAAATTACAAAACAACAGTAGTGAAAATGGAAAAAGAGCAAACACAGAAACTGAGTAATACCCTCCTTAAAAATGACTGGGTAGCAGAAATAAAAAATGAAATTAAAAAAATTACTTGAATTAAAAGAATGAAAACACAACATGCCAAATCTTTTGGACACAGCAAAAGCAGTGATCAGAGGCCAACTTGTAGCAATAAATGCACATATCAAAAAAGAAGAGCCAAAATCAACACCTTAACCCAACATCTCCAGCAATTAGAAAAAGAACAGCAAGAAAAGACTACAGTCACCAGAAGAAAAGAAATACTAAAGATTCAAGGAGAAAGAAATGAAACAGAAAAAAAATCAGTAAGGCTAGAGCTTGGTTTTTTGAAAAGATTAATAAAATTGACAAACCATTGGCAAGTTTAACAAAGGAAGGAGGGAAAGAATACTTATAACACAAATAAGAAACAAATAGGGTGATGTCACAACAGAACCGATCAAAATAAAAAGGGTAATATCAGGATATTAAGAAGAACTGTACTCCAACAAATTTGAAAATTTAGAAGAAATGGACAGATTTCAGAAACATAATACTTAAACTAACACAGACTGAGATAGAATATTTGAACAGACCCATAACAAAAGAAGAATTACCAAGAAAAAAAAAGTTCTAACCCAGATGGTTTCAATGGAGAATTCTAACAAACATTTAGAGAAGAACTGACACCAATCCTATTCAAACTATTCCAGAACACAGAAAAAGATGGAATCATCCCAAATTCATTTTATGAAGCAAGCATAATTTTGACACCAAAACCAGGCAAAGACATCACTAAAAAGGAAAATTACAGACTAATATCCTTTATGAATATAGATGCAAAAATCTTCAACCAAATCCTAGCCAATAGACTCCAATAACATATCAAAAAAATAATACATTATGACCCAGTAGGGTTCATAACAGGTATGCAGGGATGGTTCAACATTAGAAAAAAGAATCAGCGTCATCCACCACATAAATAAAACAAAGGAAAAGAACCACATGATCATATCAATCAATGCAGAAAAGGCATTTGATAAAACCCAACACCCATTCCCAATAAAAATTCTCAGAAGAGAAATTCCTCAACATAACGAAGCGCCCAAAATACAAAACCAACAGCCAACATTCTCAATGCAGAGACTGAAACCATACCCCTTGCATACAGGAACCAGACAAGGATGTCCCCTATCACCACTTCTATTCAACATTGTACTGGAAGGCCTAGCCAGGGAATAAAGCAAGAAATGGAAATCACAGGAATTGGTAAGGAAGAAGTCAAACTATCCCTATTTGCTGATGATATTATGATCCTATACATAGAAAGCCGAAGAGACTCAGCAACAAAACTATTGAAACTAACTGAGAGATTGAGCATAGTGGCAAGACGTAAGAAAGATCAACTTAAAAAATTAGTTGGATTCCTCTACACCAGCAAAGATACTGCTGAAAAGGAAATCAATACCATTTACAATCCCTACCAGAAAAATAAAATACTTGGGAAAAATGTTACCAGGGACACAAAAGAAAAGTACAAAAGACTACTTCAAGAAACCATAAGCAATCTATATAAATGGAAGAACATGCTTGTGGATAGGAAAATTGAACATGAAAATATCAATACTACCTGAAGCAATCTACACATCCAATACAATCCCATCCATATCCCATCAACATTCTTTAAGAATATGGAAAACCCTATCACTAATTTTATATGGAAGGGAAAGAGACTTCAGATAAGCAAAAGTGAAGAACAACAACAAATAGGAGGTATATCACACTCCCAGATCTCAAAACCTACTACAGCTCACAGCAGTCAAAACAGCCTGGTATTGGTAGAACGACAGACACAAAGACCAGTGGAATAGAATTGAGAACCCAGAAATAGATCCATTGACCTATGGTCAGCTGATTTTTGACAAAAGGCTGAAATCCATTAAATGGAGAAGAAATCGTCTCTTTAACAAATGGTGCTGACAAAACTGGATATCCATTTGCAGAAAAATGAAACAAGATCTGTACTTCACATCATACACAAAAACTAATTCTCACAAATAATCTGAGAAGCTGGACTATAAGAAGAAGAACGTGGCATCAGGATTGGAGAAGGCTGATTAACAACCTGTGATATACTGACGACACAATTTTGCTTGCTGAAAATGAGGATGACTTGAAGCACTTACAGATAAAGACTGAAGACTACCGTATGCAGTATGGATTACATCTCAATATAAAGAAAACAAATGGGAGGGGAGGGAACACTGCTAGATAGGTAGATACAAGTATTGATTTGGGTGAAGGGAAGGGCCATATACCAAATGTGAGTGATCAACATGGTGGCACTGAGGAAGAGGAAGAGAGAGGTACACGGGAGGTATAGGCAACAAAGATGAACCCTTTTGCTTACATAGTATTGCATTGTCAGTAATGGCAAGCATTGATCTACGGGTGGAGAGATGGGTGGACAGTCTGAACGATCAGGTATGTCTAGGCAGAAAGCAGTGTTCCAATGACAGTTTATAGGGTTGGCAGATGATTTTTCTTTAAGCTTATTTGTATATGCTGTGAGAATGTCCAGGTGAATAGTAGCGCTGACAAAGGACAAGCTTCTAGTGACTTCTTGGCCAGTGTCAGCTACCTGGAGGAAGTGAGCAGTTGGATCTGTAGGCTCAGGACCACAATCTCAGGGGACATCAAGGTCAATTGGCATAGAATTGTTCTATATCCTACTTTGTGAGTAGCAACTTGGGTCTTAAAAGCTTGCAAGCGACCATCCAGATGCAATGATGGGTCTCTCCTTATCCAGAGCAAAGAAGAATGAAGAAAACCAAAGACACATGGAAACAATTAGTCCAAGCAACTGGTACACCATGCGATCTTCAGACTGTATGACCATGAGACCAGAACTAGATAGTGCCTGGCTACCACTGTGAACCACTTGGAGGGGGATCAGTGCAGAAGATCCTAGATGGAGTGGGAGAACAATGTGGAACAAAATTCAAAATCATTAAAAACAAACAAAACAAAACAGGCCAGGTTTGCTGATCTGACAGAGCCTGGTGAAACACCTGAGACAACAGCCCCTAGCTACCCTTCAGGTCTGGAACTGAACTCACTCCTGTGGCTTCCAGTCAAATAACAGGCATATAGGCTGAATATTTACATGAGGTAGATATACTACTTGGATCAATCAATCACGGGAGAACAGGAGGGCAGTGTTTTCACAAGGAGACAGTTCAGGGGGCAAGAGTGCATGGAGGGAAGGACAGAGGGAAGTGGTAACTACGGGGAAGAAGTAGGAAGAGAGCTGTTGACACTGTGGGGAACTGCAGTCAATGTCATAAGACAAAATGTGTAAGAAGTGCTGTATGGAAAATGAATTTGCTCTGTAAACTTTCACCCAAATAACAATAAAAATAAAAAAAAAGTAAAAAAAATATATATATACACACGTGTTTGTATTCATATTCATACAGCACAATATTATGTAGCCACAGAAAGAAATGAAGTACTGACACATCCTACCACCTGGATGACTTGTGAAAACATACTGTGAAAGAAACCAGTCATAAAGGACCATATATTGTATGACTGTGTTTATTTGAAATTATGAAATTTCCAGAATAGGCACATCAATAGAGACAGAAAACAGATTAGTAGTCTTAGCTGCGAGGGCTACAGGGAGGGAGGAATGTTAAGAAGTTACTACTAATGGATACAGGGGGTTTCTTTTTAGGGTGATGAAATGTTCTAACATTGATATTGATGAGTTGTAAAACTCTGAATATACTAAAACAAAACAAAACAAAATTAAAAAACCCACTGTATTATACACTAAGATGGGAGAACTCTTTGGTATATGAAGTATTTCTTGATAAACTGTTGAAGAATTGATATCTAAAAGAAGGGTAAAGTTAAAAAATTTAGAAAAATGAGTTTCATATTTTAAATTACTTCAGAGCCTAGGATTTAAAATAGTCTCTGTTATCCCTGAAAAAAAAAAGTCTATACATCTAGGATGACAGAGGGATAGTTAGCTAACTTATATAGATTAAATTTTGTTCAGGTTAGAAAAATCTGTTAAAGATGATAGTTTAGAGTTGTGAAATTCATCTGGGTATAATGGGCAGAGTGTCTTCCTTCTCTATTACAGACAATGAGTGTCTTAGTAAAAGAATTACTCTCAATAATAAAGTCATTTAATCCATAAAATTTTATTTTTAAAAATATTTAATTTTTTATATAAGGGATATTTTACGGTATGTAGGAAAATGTTTATAAAATAGTTCATTCTGAGATGCAGGGTGATTGCTAATTTAAGTTTTCTTCATTTAGATTATATGATTTTAAATGAGAAAAAGTTACTTAAAATTTTATCATTTTTTCCTGCTAAAAAGGTAATTTTACTTATTAGGATTATCATTTAAAAAATTCTCTATAATAAATCATTGAAAAGTACTTATTCTATGCCTCCTATACTTTTCACAGTATTAAAATTAAAAATATAAAATATATTAAAAAGCATGCATTACAAATACATGAACTAATTCAAAGTATTAGTCTCAAAATGAACCACAGAAGTAGTAAAACAAACCTTTGTTTTGGCACCTGTATGATCAATTTCTTCTTCTGGAGTGTGTTCAGCATGACATTTTGGATGACCTCCTTCCTCTTGGTCAACCTGCATTTTATCCTAGAAAGAAAGTATTAACATCATATATATATAGGAGCTCTGGTAGCATAGTGGCTAAGGCACTTGACTGCTAACCAGAAGGCTGGCGGTTCAAACCCACCAGCCACTCCTCGGAAG